CAAAGAGGTTTTCTAAAGCTTCCTCCAAAACTTAGGGATTTTTAGATAGCTTCCCCCAAAACTCGATACGGGTGTCTACCCTAAAAACACATCGTGTTTATTATCAAAATATAACCTGTCAATACACTGACCGTACTATGGCTATTTATACTAGTATAGCCGACCCATCTAACAAGAATTACACGCACGCAAGATTTCCAAACATACTGGACTCCTACTTGATTTAAACTGATTTGCCTTTTATATCTCGGCATGTACCCAAAAGACCTACTACAAATAACGATTGACTCTAGTACTATTTGTGCACTTGTGAATTTAGTTTTTCTAGCCGGTGGCCCCCATCCAGCTTCCTTTAAACAAGCTATTCCATGTAAGAGACGTCTTAGTGCCTGCAACCTTGATTGATCTGGTGGTCGTGGTCTCCCAAAGTAGTAGTAGCAGCTGCCATGGACACCTTTGTTATTCTTATTTCTTTGGTTTGCATGGACGTGTACTTGGCTCAAGTAAAACAAATCTCCTCCCGATTCCCATGTAAAATATCTAGCACTCAATTCTGGTTGATACACACACGTACATGTCACATTAATTAGCTCCTCCTCATCCTTGTTTTTAAGCTTCATGTAACTTGACATGTACGGATCTCGGGCCTCTAATTCATTGACCTGTGCCAAAGCCTCGTGATCACTGAAAACACTAGCATTACTCATGGCCACATCAGAAACGTAGACCGAGTGCCTTGTGAAGTAGGGGTAAGAGTATACACTCAGCCATGTATTTAAAGATCCACTCATGTCAAAGTTCCTGAATACCCCGTGCGCACGGTCCTGTACCGAGGAAGATGAAGAAGATGATCGTTATGAGGAAGAGGAGTCTAGTCCAGAGGAAGCCACTCCGGGCAAGCGTGACCTCCGGAATATGCCTCTTGTCAAGTGGACCAAGCCAGAGATCTGGGTTGAGAGACAGAACCATCCGTATGTTAAGGCCACGAGTATGGGAATGTATCCCCGTTTCAAGAATGGGTGTCAGCAAAGAATCTATCATGAGCTTCTTATGACCAAGTCAAAGAAGTTTGCTCCTCACAAGAAAGTCAACACTGAGAGTTTGCACGCCAATGATCATCTGTATCCCAGTGTGTACTCCGCTCTTGGACGACTGGGCCTGATTTCGTTTGTCACCTTCAACCACCCCTACAATGAAGATCTAGTGATGCAGTTCTTTGCCACTCTGTACTTCTCCAATGATTCTGCTTGCACCCTCACATGGATGTCCGGAACATATCAGTGCTCATCTCCTATGGCAAAGTTCTCTGAGATCAATCCCTACCCTTTCATGGATGAAGAGACTGTTTCGGATGAGTTTGGCATTGTTCGGGAAAGTGGGCAACACACTAAGGATGAGATTGCCTTTGCTTACAAACAAGAGAAGTCGTTTGTCACTGGGTCAATCAAAGACCTCTTGCCCCTCTATGACACCATGCGCCATATCCTACGGTATACCCTCACTCCAAAGGCCGGGGATTCCCATAACATTCGGAGCTCCATGCTTGATGTCTTTGTGTATCTTCATCAGAAGACGAAAGTGGATGTTCTGGATTTCATGTACTACGAGCTGCGTCTGTGTGTTCAAGAGAACAAGTCTTTGATCTATGCTCCTTTCATATAGGCGTTGATTGACACCGTCTGTCCAGCAAAGTACATTGCTAGCTTGAAGACTGATGTTCCCAAGCGCAACTCCAACTGGACCCCAGCTGCTCCTGCTCCCTATGTGCCCATCAAGAAGGGGCGCAACCCTAGGCCCGAGGATCATGCTACTTACACTCCAGGCATGTCCTCTACTGCACGAATCCCTCGTGGTAAGGCCAAGTCTATTGGCTCTGAGGCCATCTTTGCCAAGGGAGAGAAGAAGTCGCTGTTCAAGACCTTGAGCAACATGTTCAAGATGTGTCAGTCGATTCAGCATCATCAGATCAAGGAAATCTACAAGGAGAAGCTTGTTCGGCGTGAGCAGAAGGCAGCAAGGGCTGTGCTGGTGAGGAGGTTGGTCCAGGTTCTGAGGGCGTCGACAGTGAGGCCACTGCTCGGTCTTTCCCAATGGCCGGGTGGCGTTTTGATGATGATGATGATGCCTCGAGTGCTCCTCCTCTTGTCTAGTGGGTCTCGTGTCACCATTTTTCTCCTCTTTGTTGTCTTGATGACAAAGGGGGAGAAGTGGTGTGTGTGGTTGTGTGTTCGTGGGTGTGTTGAGATCTCAAGCCTCGTGTTTCTCGTTGTTGGTTGGTATTAGTTGGCTTGAGATACTCTTATTTCCTTTCTGTCTGTGTGGTTGTGAGCCTCTAGCGTTATTGTGAGACTCTAGCTTTATTATTGAACCTTGCTATTATCCTCTTATGCTTATTGGGTCTCACATTATTTGCTCACCACAATGTGTCATGAGATCTAGGCACCGTTATAGGTTTATTTTGGTGAATCTCATGACTTATCAATAATGATCTTGGTCGAACCTCCTATGGGTGTACTAGATGCATTCTTGTTTTCGGGCACACATATAGGGGGAGCTATCATGATCATTATTTGTTCCATGGCTTTCTATCTGTTTATCCTCTTTGCCATGCTCTAACCACGTTGTCATCAATGCACCAAAAAGGGGAGATTGAAAGTGATAATGGCACTTAAGCTATATTTTGGTGTGATGACAATGTGGTTAGTTGAACTAATATCAGTTGCTAAAGTTTATCTCAGGTTATTGGTTCTAAGTGCCCGCGATGGAGATGTGCGACCCCCCATTTCAAAAAGAACAAAGGCGTGGTCTTTCGACACTTCGAAGGTTTAGTTTTGGTGTGCTTCGAGTCGTAGGAAAGACCGCACTATTAAGAGGGGTCTGTGTGGATAAATGTCGTGTGGGAATGCCTTTGCCGAGCCTTACTCTCTTACCCTTCCCACTCCGACCACCTCATATGAACCTAGTGTGTGTGCTGTGGTACTCAGAAAGTTGCAACAGTAAGTTACTGGGTACCCCGTGCGCATGGGGTCTTTTGACCCCCATGCGCACGGGGTACTGCGTAACTCTCTGGATACCCCGTGCGCACGGGGTCTTTTGACCCCCGTGCGCACTGGGTGGTGCGATTGTCTCTGGATACCCCATGCGCACGGGGCTGACTTAGCCCGTGCGCACGGGGTCCAACGGGCAGAAATCCCCACCCTCACATGAACACTATAAAAAGGCCTTTCTTCCTCCTCCAACCCTTAACCCTAATGTCTTGTTGAGCTCCACCATTGCTACACCCCATTTTGCTAAATACCCTCAATCCCTCCACCCAAACTTGTTGAAACTTTGGGGATTGGGAGAGCAAGACCCGATCTACAACTTGACCAAACCAAATCGCGTTCTCCGCAACATTTCTTCCCCATTGACTTGTTACTCTTGGAGCTTGGGCTCCTAGGCGGTTAGAGGTTCCTCCGGTAGCTTCCTTTCTTGTGGTGTGCTCCGGAGAAGTTTGTAAAGGTGTGGTGGTCGCCTTCAAGACCAACCCGAGTGGTTCGAGGCTCATCCGTTGGGGGTGACTCGAAGGAGAATACGGTGAGCCCTTGGTGGCATTCCGCAAGCTTTGGCTCCGGCACCGCTTCAAACGGAGATTAGCTCTTCCCAAGAAAGAGTGAACTTCGGGTTAAAATCCGTGTCCTCGTCTCACTTGTGGTTAATCCTTTCCCGCACCTTTCTTTGTTGTTGTATGCTTGTTGGCTTGCTAAGTAGTTTGTTGACTAGCTTTTCTTCTTAGAGCTTGCTTGTCATATAGGTTGCATTCACCTAGTTGCATATCTAGTCAACTCTTTTATCCGCTAAGCCTTAAAATCTATAAGAAAGATTAAAATTTGTAGTCTCCTATTCCCCCCCCCCCTCTCTAGTCGACCGTATCGATCCTTTCACCGCCAGCGGGGGCCGAGGTCCTCCGCACCTCTGCGGCTCAAATGGCCATCGAAGGTGGGGAGGACCAGCGGCAGCGCCACGGGAGGAAGAGAAGGTCTGATCGCCTATGGTCCTTTCTTTGATCAAGTCACGGAGATTGTTTTTGTATACATCAAGCCATGGAGATTGTGATTATTATGAATTTTTGGGTCTGGATTGTGATTTCTTTAGGGGCCTGTATTCTGATTATTAGTAATGCAATTTGATACCCTTTATGTTTGTGTTTACGTTGCCGAACCAAACACCTTGAGACTTTCATATCTAAATTCTCTAGAAATAAAAAAAGGAAATAATAGCTAGTTTAAATTGGGACATTACTTCGTCCCATTAACACTATTAACGGTAAATTTGCATATTTGTTTTTCTCGAGAAACACAGTGAAGTTGGTTATGAAATTCCATACATTGTGAACTACTTATTTTACAATTTTAAGAAACCCATATACGGATGAAAACCTTTTTTTACAGGCAAAAACACTTGGGAGTACTTCACTTGTGGGAGTACTTGATATGCTGTGACCTAGGATTTTGTGTTAAAACCACCATAGGGCCTAAAAAGGTAAACTGTTTAGGCTCCAGTTCTTTCGACGACTCGGCATAAGCCACCCCTTCCCCAACTTATTTTAGAAGCCGGCCCCATATTCATTGGGGCTTGTAAATCAGTTACCGGCTTCTGTAATAAGCTGGGGAGGGAGGAACATGATTATTTTAGAAACCGCCAAAAGAACTAGGCATCAGTAAGTTCAGTTTCAGTTTTATGCTTTGGACTGCTTGAAAGTTCTAGGACCAAAAGTGAGCTTGGAGCAAAGTTGAAGGTCCAAAAGTGGACTTCTTCCTTATTGAATTGATTACAGAAAGGTGCCATAAATCATTCGACGGCATTACTGAAACGGAGCATGTTCCCTGAACAAAACGAAATTCAACTTCTAAGGCGCCACTTCCAGCTTAGGATTCAATCGCAATAGGCTCTACACTTCAAAAATTTCAAATCACGCATTTTCTTCTGATTTTGACGGTCACCATAATGCTTCATCTAGTTCATGGCCGATCACCGTTCGAGCTCTTGGGCGCCGCCTGTCCTCCTGCCTGTCCGGTCTCCGTCTCCTCCTGGGGCTCGGCGGCGCCGCCGTCTTCTTTCTCGTCGACAAGTATCTTCTTGCAGGCCTCGTAGCACATGAAGGAGATGCCGGCGGCGGGCATGAGCTTGATGCAGCTGGGGCCGAGCCCGCGGTAGAGCCCGGCGGTGCCCTCCTTCTCGAGGATGCAGTACATGGCGTGCAGCACGTTCTTGTACACCTGCCTCCCGCCCACGGCGCCCACCTGCATCTGCTTCCGCGCCACCTCCAGCGGGAACGTGGCCGTGCTGGCTATGGCGCCCGCCGCGGACCCGATCAGCAGCGTCGGCACGTTGCCCACCTCCTCTTTCCCCGACGCGCGGCGGTACACGCCGCGCAGCGTCTCGTAGGCGTAGAAGTTGGCCGCCGCGTACGGCACCACGCCGATCAGGCTCGGCGCCAGCCCGCGGTACAGCTCCCCCGGGCCTTCGTCGCGCACGATCTTGACGAACGCGTGGAGGAGGTTGTCGTACACGTCCTTCTGCATGCAACGCAACGGGGTCGTCAGTCAGATGGCACTGCCACTGGTTGAGATACAGTAATTACTGTGCTGGAATTCTGTGTTCTCACCTCGATGGTGAGACGGGTCTTGACGAGCTCCATGGGATAGGTGCACAGGGTTGACGCCACTCCGGCGAGCGCTCCGGCGACGAGCGGCGTGGGGATGGGGACCTTGGCTGGCTCGCCGGCCTCCGGGGTCAGGTACTTCTTCGCCGTGTCGTAAGTGAAGTGCTGCACCGCGCCATGTGGAGTCAGGGACACTGCATCTCGCATCAGTGAAATTTGAAGGAAAAGCACTTGAGGTGGCTGGCTGGCTTGCCTCGATGGCCTTGCTTGGCGCGACGCGGAGGACGTTGACGGCGTTGCCGCGGAAGAGGCCGGGCCACCCCTCCGTCCGCATGATCCACCGGAAAACCCCGGCCATGGAGTCGGCGCCGGAGCTCCCCACCATCAGGTGCGTCCTGATCGTCTCCAGTGGCGCCACGAAAGTCCTCGACACGGCGCCGGCGATGGCGCCGCTGACCAGCCGCCGCAGGTGCGGGTTGCCGATCTTGACCCTCACCTTCCTCAGACTCAGCTGCTGCTTTTTGGCCTTTTTCGCCTTCTGGGCCTTCTGGACGCCCGCCTCGCCCGCGGCTGCGAGCTGGTGTGCGACGTCGTCGGCGGGCCGAGCCTTCCCGTCATGCTCGCGCGCTACCGGCGGGGCGCCGTGGGACAGGCTGAGTCCCACGCTGGCGAACAGAGCCCTGCGTGGGAAGTCCAAGCTCCTGGACTCGGGCTGCGAGCTCCAAGGGAAGGCGACCTCAGGGACCGGCCGCAATAACCAGTTCTTCTTGTCCATGACGAGCGAGGCGCGGTTGTTCTTGGTCACCATTGTCGTCGCGGCCATTGCCGCCGCCATCTGATTCAACTCGAACACATAAAGGATTATATATGTAAGGGCGAAAGAGCTAAGTTGTACGGTGACTAGTGAGCAAGAGTGCAAGAGCAAGACTAAGATCAGCTCAATTCATATATATCACAAAAACCTAAAAATGTCCATGCAAGTTAGGCCACAAAACACACAAGGGAACACCACGATCACTCAAAATGGCATTATGGTGATGGAATTAGATCTTAAGAGCAGATTTGGTTAATCCAATTTAACACCGAGGCACTGACAAACACTACTACGGCTACACGTCAATCGCCTGAAAAACAGAAAACGGCCAGTCGATTCTCCTTCTCCTGTATCAACCGTTCGACCAAGATCCAATAGACGTTGGTTGTCTTCAACCTTCGACAGATCTTCTTCCTCTCTCTCACCCGCCGATCCAGCCCAGCCCTAACCGCCGGCCCCCGCCGCCCGCGGCCGCGGCGCTCCCGCGACCGTCTCGCCGCCCCACCCTCCCCTAAAC